TCCTTCTTTTTTTTTTTTCCCTCCTTCCCACTTCTTCCTTCTCCTCCCTTCCTCCTCCCTTCTTCCCTTCTCCTCCATCTCTTCTCTCCTTCTCTCCTTCTCCTCCGTCTCCGTTTTCTTCTTATCCTCCTACTCCTCCTCCTCCTCCACTTCCTCCTCCTTCTCCTTCTCCTTCATGTTTTTATTGATTTTAGAGAGAGGAAGGGACAGGGAGAGAGAGAGAAGCATCAATGATGAGAGAGATTCATGGATCAGCTGCCTCCTGCAGGCCCCACACTGGGGATGGAGCCCACAACCCGGGCATGTGCCTGACCGGGAATCAAACCATGACCTCCTGGTTCACAGGTCAATGCTTAACCACTGAGCCACACCGGCATCCCCTGCAAACACTTGTTTTCATGAAAGGCCTCGGGCTACACGGAACGCTTTGCCTTGCAGGTACTTTCAGCTGCGGCTGCTGCCGGGGTCTCCGTTGCGTTTGGTGCTCCGATTGGCGGTGTGCTTTTCAGCCTGGAGGAGGTGAGCAGGGCGGCCGGGGCTGCGGGCTGCGGGCTGCGTCAGCGGCGAGCTCAGCAGCAGGCTGCCTGAAGCCCTCGGAGGAGCGCTGACACAATTCCTGCAGCTCATTAAGGAGCCGCGATGGGTGCCGCTCAGGACGTTTGGAAAAGGCCGATAGAAATGTTCTGGAAGATTTGCAGTGTCCCCCTTCCTCATAACCAAATGAATGAAGCATTTTTGCTTTTGGCAACGCGGCTAGATCTGTTCCGGGGCTGGCAAACGTCTGTAAAGGGCCAGAGAGTCACTGTTTGAGGCTTTGCGGGTCTCCCGGGCTGGGTCCCAGCCTCTCAGCCCTGCACGGCGCAGGGAAGCTGCCGCAGACACCGCGCCCGTGATCATGACACCCCTCTCCTTAGGAGCTGAAGCTGGAGTTTTACATAATTTTCTCGTGTCACAAAAATAGAGTTCTTTTGAATATTTCACATGTCACAAAATAGTCCTTCCTAATCATTTACTTTTTTTTAAAATATGTATTTTATTGATTTTTTACAGAGAGGGAGGGAGAGAGATAGCTAGAAACATCGATGAGAGAGAAACATTGATCAGCCGCCTCCTGCACACTCCCCACTGGGGATGTGCCCGCAACCAAGGTACATGCCCTTGACCAGAATCGAACCCGGGACCCTCCAGTCTGCAGGCCGACGCTCTATCCACTGAGCCAAGCCGGCCAGGGCCCTAACCATTTACTTATTAAAAAAATTTTTTTTTATTGATTTCAGAGAGGAAGGGAAAGGGAGAGAGAGATAGAAACATCAATGATGAGAGAGAATCATTTGTTGGCTGCCTCCTGCACGCCCCCTACTGGGGATCGATCCCACAACCCGGGCATGTATGTGCTCTTGACCAGAATCACACCCGGGACCCTTCAGTCTGTAGGCCTGAAGCCAAACCAGCTAGGGCATTCCTAACCATTTACAAATCAAAATTTATTTTTAACTCCTGTGCCATTCAGATACATTTGCTGGGTCAGGGTTTTCCAACCCTTGATCTACTCTGTTGTCTGTAGAATCTAATTCAGAGGTTTTTTTGCTTTTTTTGGGGGGGGGCTCTCCGTGCCATAAACAGAATTATGATGAAATGTTCTCATTTCTCTTAAAAAATAGCTCAAAAACACCTCGACTAGTCTCCATTCTACTGTCAGACACAGAGTCCTTGACATGTCTTTGTTGGTGCCTTTGGGTCATAGTGCAACCCAGGTCGCTCATGTGCTCCTTTCCGTCCCAGGTCAGTTACTACTTCCCCCTGAAGACCTTGTGGCGGTCCTTCTTCGCGGCCCTGGTGGCGGCCTTCACGCTGCGCTCCATCAACCCCTTTGGGAACAGCCGCCTCGTTCTCTTCTACGTGGAATATCACACGCCCTGGTACATGGCCGAGCTCTTCCCCTTCATCCTGCTGGGCGTCTTCGGGGGCCTGTGGGGCACCCTCTTCATCCGCTGCAACATCGCCTGGTGCCGGAGGCGCAAAAACCACCCGGCTGGGCAAGTACCCGGTGCTGGAGGTCATCGTGGTGACCGCCATCACCGCCATCGTCGCCTACCCCAACCCCTACACGCGCCAGAGCACGAGCGAGCTCATTTCCGAGCTGTTCAATGACTGCGGGGCCCTCGAGTCCTCCCAGCTCTGCGACTACATCAACGACCCCAACATGACCCGGCCCGTGGATGACATTCCCGACCGGCCGGCCGGGCGCGGGGTGTACACGGCCATCTGGCAGCTGGCCCTGGCGCTGGTCTTCAAGATCGTCATCACCATCTTTACCTTCGGCATGAAGGTGAGCGAGGGGGGAGGAGGATGGGGGCCGCCATGGAATCGTGCTGGGAGGGAGGGGAGGGCCTGTATTGAATGTTGTCTTGTGCTGGGCCCTGGACCTTCTTTGAATCAACAAGAAACGATGCTTTTGATAAACAGCAAGCCTCTCAAATAGCTTTTATTTATTTATTTTTAAAAAAATATATTTTATTGATTTTTTACACAGAGGAAGGGAGAGGGACAGAGATTTAGAAACATCGATGAGAGAGAAACATCGATCAGCTGCATCCTGCACACCTCCTACTGGGGATGTGCCCGCAACCCAGGTACATGCCCTTGACCGGAATCGAACCTGGGACCTTTCAGTCCGCAGGCCGATGCTCTATCAACTGAGCCACACCGGTTCCGGCTCAAATAGCTTTTAATCTCACTTCACAAGTGAAGAAGCCATGGCTCAGAGTATGTCGTTCATCCAGAGACATACAAAGCTCGTGAACTTTCCTGAAACACACACTTGTGTAACCAGCACCCAGGACCGCAAGCAGAACATTGAGAGGCCTCCCGAACACCCATTGGTTTCCATTACGATTACTTCTGTGTGCGATTTTTAAAAAGTATATTTTTACTGATTTCAGAGAAGAAGGGAGAGGGAGAGAGAGATAGAAACATCCATGAAGAGAGAGAATCATCGATTGGCTGCCTCTTGCATGCCCCACACTGGGGATGGAGCCCGCAACCTGTGCATGTGCCCTGACCTGGAGTCGAACCCTGACCTCCTGGTTCATAGGTCAATGCTCAGCCACTGAGCCACGCCTGCTGGGTCTGTGTGTGATTTTTATGATTTATTTTTTTAAGTCGAAGAAACCATGTAGGGAGTTTATACTTGAGTGTGTAATGGTCAAGCACAAACCTGAATTTTTGCCCTGAGAACAAGGAGGGGTGGACTCCATTAAACAGCTGACGGTCTGCTCCACCCGCTCCCAGCAAGGGACTGAGCTTGTGTCTGCGGAAGGCCCTGGCCACCCCCCGGTGCCTGCTGGGACAGGCGACTTTGAAGCTCCAGGGCAGTCAGTGGCAGTGGGAGGAGGGGCAGCTCAGAAAGGAACCATTTCCTCAGGAATGTCCCACACTCGCGCAACCACACTCAAGGATCCGACTTAACCTGGACTCTGCTTAGAGAGCCACTTCCATCCTGAGGCTGATGACAGTCCGGGTCGGCATAGATGCGGCTCCCGCTCAGGATCGTAGTCACGTGCAGTCTCCGCCGCGGAGAGCCCGGCGTGCTACCTGCTCACTAGGCAGTGATGGGGAACCTTTTGAGCTCGGCGTGTCAGCATTTGGAAAAACCCTAACTTAGCTCTGGTGCCGTGTCACATAGAGAAATTTTTGGATCTTTGCAACCATAGTAAAACAAAGACTTCTATTTTTAATATTTATTTTATATATTTAAATGCCATTTAACAAAGAAAAATCAACCAAAAAAATGAGTTCGCGTGTCACCTCTGACACGCGTGTCATAGGTTCGCCATCACTGCACTAGAAGGAATACAGCCTTGCCAACTCCGAAGCAGGAGGCACACTGTTACCGAGGCCTTTCAGTCCCATAGTCTCTTTTTTTAAAAATTTTGTTTTATTGCTTAAAGTATTACAAAGAGCATTACAAATGTCTCCTTTTCCCCCCCTTGACCTTCCCCCGGCCTCCCCTACCCCCCAGTGTCTGTGTCCATTGGTTATGCTTATCTGCATGCATACAAGTCCTTCGGTTGATCTCTTACCCCCCCTCCCCAACTCTCCCCGGCCTTCCCGCTGTAGTTTGACAGTCTGTTCGATGCTGCTCTGCCTCTGTGTCTATTTTTGCTCATCAGTTTATAATGGTCTTAATTATCCATAAATGAGTGAGATCACGTGTAGTCTCTCTCTGTGCCGCTCTCACCTGGGTTGAGCCTGTTCTCAATGCTTTTAGGAAAATGGACGTTGTCGGGAGGAGGGCGCTGCCTTTGGAAGATGCGGGCGGCTGTGCGGCTGCCCTCGGCTTCTTCCTTCTCCCCGATAACCCTCGCAGGCCCTCCTTTTCCATTGTCCCGCTGCGGCTTGACATTTCATTTGAAAAGCTAATCTGAAGGACAGGCGAGGGGAGCAAGGAGGTGGTGCGTGTCTCCAGGGACAGCTGTCGCTTTGAATGCTGTTTGCAGTGGGGCTGCTCATTCTGTAACCCACCCAGGCACGCCCCCCCCCCCCCCCCCCCCCCCCCGCTGCTGAAGGCCCGGACAGGAAAGTGTAAAACGACATTCTCTCCAAGTCACAGTAGCCACGGGGGAGCAGGCAGGTGCAGCCACTTGTCCCACCTTTTCCCTGACCTACTCTGAAGGTTGCACCTCCTTTTACAAATTATTTATTTATGTTCCTCCTCACCCGAGGATATTTTTCCATTGATTCTTAGGGAGAGTGGAAGAGAAGGGGAGAGACAGAGAGAAACATTGATGTGAAAGAAACACATGGATGGGTTGCCTCCTGCACGAACTCTGGTCAGGGCCCAGGCTGGGGAGGAGCCTGCAACCAAAGTACGTGCCCTTGACTGGACTCGAACCCAGGACCCTTCGGTCCACAGGCTGACACTCTATGCACTGAGCCACACCGGCCAGGGCAAGGTTGCAGCTGCTTTGAAGACGGAAGCAAAATGCAAGCTTGTCGAGGGGGTCAGTGTGTACTGGGTGGGAGGCGGGGCTTTGGGGATTTGGACTCCTCCCCTCATGCTTCTTTTCCGTGTGTGCTCCCTGGAGATCCCGTCCGGCCTCTTCATCCCCAGCATGGCCGTGGGGGCCATGGCGGGCAGGATGGTGGGCATTGGCGTGGAGCAGCTGGCGTACCATCACCACGACTGGATCATCTTCAGGAACTGGTGCAGGCCTGGAGCGGACTGCGTCACCCCGGGACTCTACGCCATGGTGGGAGCAGCGGCCTGCCTAGGTACAGCCAGAGGGGGGTGAGGCGGGGTGGGAGGTGCAAGGAAAGGAAGACAGACTGAGCACAAGGGCCGATCTGGGTTAGAGGACTGGCCAGAGGAAGCCATGAGCACTTGCGCTCTCAGGATAGGAGAGGGCGTGCTGCTGTGACAAGTAATCCCCTAAATCCCACGGGCTTAACACACCGAGGCTTAGATCTGGTCCGTGATGGCGGTCGATCCTCATAATTCGTGGATTCCATAATTGGGCATTTGTGTACTTGCTAAAATGTATTTGTCACCCTCAGATCAGTACCTGTAGGGCTTTGCAGTCCCTCTGGGACACTCACAGGTGCAACACTGGAGTGATCTGACACGTGTACGTTCCCAGCTGACTGACCAAGGTGAAGGTCTGCCTTCTTGGTTCGGCTCTCACACGGGACACAGATGTCCTTCTTGTGGTCTATCGAGTGCCATGGGATTTGCATTTGTTGTGCTTTTTGTTCATGATTTTGCGGTTTAAAAGGGCGTAGCGCTGAGGTGCTGCCTGGCGCTCCTCATGCGAGGAGCCTGGGATGTGCCTCGGAGAAAACACACGTTCAGAAGCTCCCCTCAGGCTGAGTTCAACGTGGCTGAGTCAACTGCATCTGTTAAATAAGGTGTCTTTGGCCAGAAACACACACAAATGGATTTTGACAAAAATGTGAGCACAGGCTCACAGAAACCTAATCTAGGTCTCCCTTTGGGCAGTGATTAAGAATTTGCTAATTCAGCGTTTGTGGTGACTTTGTAGATCATAACTACTGTGAATAATGAGAATCAACGTGTGTGTGTGTGTGTGTGTGTGTGTGTGTGTGTGTGTGGTTAGCGGAAGGTTCTCTCCACTTGGTCATTCAGGGACCCAGGCTGATGGATTCTCTACCATCTCGCAGCTGTGCCATCTAGGATAGTGGTTTTCAACTGGGGGCGATTGTGCCTCTCAGGGACAGTGGACAAGAGAGGAGACACGTTTGGCTGTCACACCTGGGGATGGCGGTGCTAGTAGCATCTAGGGCAGTGATGGCGAACCTTTTGAGCTCGGCGTGTCAGCATTTTGAAAAACCCTAACTTAACTCTGGTGCCGTGTCACATATAGACATTTTTTGATATTTGCAACCATAGTAAAACAAAGACTTATATTTTTGATATTTATTTTGTATATTTAAATGCCATTTAACAAAGAAAAATCAACCAAAAAAATGAGTTTGCGTGTCACCTCTGACACGCGTGTCATAGGTTCGCCATCACTGATCTAGTGGGAGGGGACCGTGGATGCTGCTAAACATCCTACAGTGCGCAGGACAGCCCCAAGCAAAGAATTACCAGTGCCACATGTTCCTAGTGCTGAGATCAAGGAGCCCCAGTTCAAGTTCATTGGAAGATTAGAAGTTGGTGTGGTTTCTCCTGCTGAATGCCGAGGGACACAGGGGGGTCCTCTCCTGTCTCTAGCCCCCAAGAGTCTCTGCAGTTTTCCAGCTTTTGGGGTTCTGGAAGGGAGCCCCGCTTGCTGAGTGAGAAACCAGAGCCCGCATAGGATCCACTCACCAGAAAGCAAGGCGTGTGGTCCTCGGTCAGTGGTCGGCAAACTGCGGCTTGCGAGCCACATGCGGCTCTTTGGCCCCTTGAGTGTGGCTCTTCCACAAAATACCGACTTCTGCGCATGGGCCACGAAGTTTCACTCGCACTGTACGTGCGCGCCCGCACGTGGTATTTTGTGGAAGAGCCACACTCAAGGGGCCAAAGAGCCGCATGTGGCTCGTGAGCCGCAGCTTGCCGACCACTGTTAGGTGAATCAACATCCGAGTTGTCCCTCAGTGCAGAAGAGCCCCCAGTTGGATGTGGCTCACGGCTCCCTGATGTAGGTGACAGAGGTCTGAGCACAGGCAGCGTGTAGAACTGTCTCCTTAGAACAGACGCTCTTGGACTGTCTCCTTAGAAACTTGAGTTTCCAGCCAGCTCGTCAGTTTCCACAACCCATGCCCTGCGGAGGGTCTGGGTTGAGCTGGGAATCCCCCTCCTCTCTCGCCTCGCAGGTGGCGTGACCAGGATGACGGTGTCATTGGTGGTCATCATGTTTGAATTGACGGGGGGTCTGGAGTACATTGTCCCCCTGATGGCGGCGGCCGTGACCAGCAAGTGGGTGGCCGACGCCTTTGGGAAGGAAGGCATCTATGAGGCCCACATCCACCTCAACGGGTACCCGTTCCTGGACGTGAAGGATGAGTTCACGCACCGCACGCTGGCCACCGACGTCATGCGGCCGCGGCGCGGGGAGCCCCCGCTGTCCGTGCTCACCCAGGACAGCATGACCGTGGAGGACGTGGAGACGCTCATCAAAGAGACCGACTACAACGGCTTCCCCGTGGTGGTGTCCCGGGACTCCGAGCGCCTCATTGGATTCGCCCAGAGGAGGGAACTGATTCTCGCCATAAGTGAGTAGAGAGGGGGGAGCTGGTGGGCAACTAAGGTGAATGGCAGCCTTCTAACCCCCGCATTCTCCAAGGGTAGAGAGAGCCTACACAGTCAGAAGGCTTTCAGCCAGGGCATCGCACACTTTTTAAAAATATATGTTTTTATTGATGTCAGAGAGGAAGGGAGAGGGGGAGAGAGAGAGAAACATCAATGATGAGAGAGAATCATGGATCGGCTGCCTCCTGCACGCCCCCTACTGGGGATCGAGCCCACAACCCGGGCATGTGCCCTGACTGGAATTGAACCCAGGACCCTTCAGTTCGCAGGTCGACACTCTAGCCACTGAGCCAAACCAGCTAGGGCTTTTTTTTTTTAATAGAGAGGAAGGGAGAGGGAAAGATAGAAACATCAATGATGAGAGAGAATCATGAATTGGCTGCCTCCTACACTCCCCCCACTGGGGATTGAGCCTGCAACCCGGCATGTGTGCTGACCAGGAATCGAACCGTGACCTCCTGGCTCCTAGGTTGATGCTCAACCACTGAGCCATGCGGGCCGGCGGATCCCACACTTGAACGTATACTTGTGTCCCTCGGGGATCTGGTTGAAGTTCAGATTTGGATTCCGCTGGTCTGGGGTTTGGCCCAGGCGCTGCGTTTCTCCCAAGCTCCCTGTTAAAGCTCTGCGGCTGGTCCCACGTCGCACTGTGAGGAGCAGGGCCTCAGGAGGCCGTTCTTGGCTGGAAGATGAGCGCCACCTTTGCAAGCAGCTCCCTGGGCTCCAGTCCTGCCGGGAGGCATGTGGTGCAGCCTTTCAGAGAACGCAAAGCCGAGAAGGAAGGGATGGGAAAGCCTGAGCCGGCCCGGGCTGAGCTGCTCTCAGAGACAGACTCAGGCAGGCGAACTACGGAGATGGGGAGTTCTTTGCCTCTCGGCTCCACCCAAGCCTTTCGCTTCCCGCTGTGACGTGATGTCACATCAGTTCTGTGCGATGCTTTTCCTCCTCGTGTGCGAATCGAAATCAGCTGGGCTGAGGGCCAGGCTGTTGAGTTGGGGGAGGAGAGGGGATGATGCCCAGGTGAGGTGTCCCGAAGATAAGCCGCTCCGAAAAGCAAGCCTGTGGGCCCAGCAGCCTGGCCAAGGCTGCATTGAAGGGGACAGCGGGAGGAGGAGGATTCCAAAGAGCTAAGCGTGTGGGGAGCTCCCTGGGGAGGGGGGGTGGGGGTTGGGGGAGTCCCAGCGGACCTCCCCATGCAGCGGGGCAGAGAGCAGTGAGCGCATCGGTGGTGCCCAGCAGACCTGCATGCCATTCCGCTCACATGCCTGCCCGTGATCTGCACACCATCCCAGCGCCTCTCTGCAGGCTGGGCCCATGATGGGGCTCAGGTTTGCATGGATGACTTTACTAACTATCCCATCTGCCAGAGTATTTATGAAGTTTGCCAAGGGGACTCGCCTGGGTATGGCGGCAGAACGCCCTGATGCCCGCGCGCCTTCACCTGCCAAGCCTTTGCCTCGCCCTGCCCTTGGTTAACCATCTCTCAGCTCGCCCTTTGAAGTCCCAGGTCTCTTCACGTGTTAAATAGCTTTGAAAATATCTTTAGAGTATCTTCATCAAAGGCTTTATAAAAATAACCTTGGATAAGCTCTATCCTCTAATGTTTGTTGCTCAAACAGGATTACCTCCCAAAGCAACAGCTGACTTTATAGTTTGGACACGGTAGCGCATTTGTGCTGAGTGCTCAGTGATACTTCTCTTTCTTGTAGGTCAGTGATGGCAAACCTTTTGAGCTCGGCGTGTCAGCATTTTGAAAAACCCTCACTTAACTCTGGTGCCGGGTCACATAGAGAAATGTTTTGATATTTGCAACCATAGTAAAACAAAGACTTATATTTTTGATATTTATTTTATATATTTAAATGCCATTGAACAAAGAAAAATCAACCAAAAAAATGAGTTCGCGTGTCACCTCTGACACGCGTGTCATAGGTTCGCCGTCACTGTTGTAGGTCCTGTCACTTAGCCTTTAGACATCAGTATTGCCTTAGAGAAAATGAGGTTGTTTAGAAAAGCTGTGTAAGCCCAGGCCGGTTTGGTTCAGTGGTTAGAGTGTCAGCCCGCAGACCGAAGGGTCGCTGGTTCGATTCCTTGTCCTGCTAGGAGGCAAGAGGCTGCAGACTTTTAGAGAATGCAACCTGTACCTCAGCTGCAGGTTCAGTCCCCGGCCTGCATCAGGGAGCTTGTGGGAGACAACCAGTTGATGTCTCTCTCTCTCTCTCTCTCTCTCTCTCTCTCTCTCTCCCCTCCCTCTCCCTCCCTCTCCATCTCTCTCCCCGCTTCCTCCCTTCCACTCTTCCTCTAAAGATCAATGGAAAAAGTATCCTTGGGTGAGGATTAAAAAAACAAACCAACCACGTTGTATAAGTAGGGCTGGGTTTGTTTTAAAATAAGGTGATCAGCAGCCTTAAGCAAAGATTGAAATTAAAATCCGAAGCGATAAATGTCACAGGCTCCATCACCTGTTGTGCAGCTCGGGCACACCCGCCAGGAGGCGGTTCACTAACCTGCTGCCCCCAGTACCGTAATCAGGTGGGAAGCAGCAGTTGTCCCCAGCGCTGGAGCCCGCTGCCCCGCGCCCCGGGAAGCTGTGTTTGGAATGTCTGAAGAGGCACCACGCCGTGGAAATAACACCTCTACACTTTCAACCAGCCGGCCCGGCGGAGAAGCTGCTATTTGCATGGTGTGTGGAAAGGCGAGGGGTGGCTTCGCTCTGAGTAACCAGAAGAGCTGTTTTCCTGGCCCTGGGAACAGAAGGCTCCCTGGATTGTGGTGGAGACATTCGCGAGCTGCATCTGCAGGATGAATGTGCCCTTTGGTGACGATGGAAACAGGACGCCAGCATTTAGCCGGCACTGACTGCATGCCGAGTCCACTCCCAGGGCATGAGGAGCAAAGATTATCACAGATCCGAGTAGTTTGGATGAGAAAAGAGTGGTGAATAGCGGTCACGTTAAAGATGGTAGCAGCCGCTCTCGGGACATGGAAGTGTGTTGTGATTTTCTGTCTCTCTCTGGACCGCAAGCCACGGCTGTCTCTCTGTTAGAGAGCGAGTCCTCGCACCGCCTGGGAAGTGCGGCCTCTTCACCACACACAGCCCGTGGGGTCGTATGTGGCCCCTGCTCAGATTCCGGGTTCAGGGGACTTTGCCTCTTGGTGCCATTTGCAAACACGAGGCTTTTCTGTGCTCGGCAGGGCTTCAGGCTCTTCCAGACTTGGGTTCTGCAATTAAGCAAGGACTGGCTGAGAGAGGACTCAGTGAAGCCGCAATGATGATTAAAGGGATGGAAAGTTCCAGTTATGGGCAAGAGTTAACACATTGTATGCGGGAAACGTATTTATACGTTTTACGTATTTATACGTTCTACCAGTGTAGTAGAGCACGGGACACGTATTAATACGTTTTTTATAGACTAGCGGTAGAATGCGGGTAACGTATAAATACGTAAACTAAAGTTATCGTAATTTTACTGAAGGTTGCCATTTGCGCAAAAAATTAGCAAAAATGACCCGCGCCACCTGTTAGCGCGCGATAAGAACTACCTGCAAACAATGTTAAGGGAACTCGGATTTTTGTCTGGTGGATGATTTAATGACGATTCTCCAGGATGTGGAAGATGCTTACTTGCAGAAAGGGACTGACATCCAGGTCCTAAGAAGAAGATAAGTGTTAGCCCGGCCGGCGTGGCTCAGTGGTTGAGCGTCGACCTATGAACCAGAAGGTCACGGTTGATTCCAGGTCAGGGCACTTGCCCGGGTTGTGGGCTCCATCCCTAGTGTGGGGCGTGCAGGAGGCAGCTGATCAATGATTTTCTCTCATTGATGTTTCTCTCTCTCTCTCCATCTCTTTCTCTCTCCCTTCCTCTCTGGAATCAATAAAAACATATTTTTAAAAAAGAAGATAAATGTCAGATCTGTTGGACAGGCTGTTTAGGGATAAAGAGGTTTCCTCCTGGTAGAACAGCAGTGTCATCTGCTTCTGCTGGAGACTTCTCCAGGCCTTAGTAAACCATGGCATCCTAAATAATCTGCTTTTTCTTCTAAATAGTGTTTACTTTGTTATAGCATCTTGTACTGATCACCACTACAGTTGCTCCCAATTTTACACCTTAACCTTCTTGTAAATTACCTCTGTTTTTATGGAAGCTTTAAGAATTTTTTTTATTGATTTCAGAGAGGAAGGGAGAGGGAGAGAGAGAGATAGAAACATCAATGATGAATGAGAATCATGGATCGGCTGCCTCCTGCACGCCCCACACCTGGGGATTGAGCCTGCAACCCAGGCATGTGCCCTGACCGGGAATGGAACCTTGACCTCTTGGTTCATAGGTCAACTGAGCCTCACCAGCCGGATCATGTGATCAGTTCTTGATTGAGGTGTGTGGCTTGATCCATTCCCAATGTTCAAATTGGTTATTGAAAGAGATGGGATTCCTGCTGCGTGGACTTCTAGAAAATCAACTGGTGTATGAATGTGGGCAAATAAGTATGTGTTGACTGTCGCCTCCACCTTAGAGCTTCAGGACAGAACCGCCTTGACTTAGGGGAGAAGTGCGCAGTGCGAGTCGTATAGCCTCTCCATTTGAAAACATGTTGTGCCTCATTGTCACCTGCTTCTGTGGTGGAATCATCTCCCATTTGATGCAACTAGATTGAACCTGAGCCAAATAATGGGCAGGCATCTGCCCAGCCGGCCCCGTGTTCCTCTTTTAAACAGAGACCCCTTTTCAACCAGCCTGACCATGGCGCTCCCCGCTTCCCATTAGAGCAGTGGTCCTCAACCTTCCTAATGCTGCGACCCTTTCATACAGCTCCTCATGTTGTGGTGACCCCCAATTTCATTGTTACAAATTGAACATCATTAAAGCATAGTGATTCATCACAAAAACAATATGTCATTATATATGTGCTTTCCGATGGTCTTAGGCGACCCCTGTGAAAGGGTCGTTTGACCCCCAAAGGGGTCGCGATCCACAGGTTGAGAACCGCTGCATTAGCGCGCTCTACTGCAGTAAATGGCCTCTGAGCAGGCAGTTTGAGTTTTATTTCTCAAAGAACGATACAGGTGAATTGTAGTCTTTGAGAAAGGAGACCTGCATTATAGAGACTGGGATTCGTTTGAAAGCAAGTCCCGCCGTACATTTTCCCTGACCTCTACCCATGAACCAAAAGAAAGATGAAAACCCTGACAGAAGAAAGTGGCCTTGGAGAAATATCTTGAGACCGATGGGTTTGTTTCACATGTGACTTAAAATAGCCCGGGTTTCTCTGGCGGCATGAAGCTGTATTCTAATGAGTTCCCGTCCCCCTGCCTCAGCCCTGTCACACGGCCTTGCCTATAGATAGAAATAGGCTAATTCTTACCATAAGAGTTTTACTATCTTTCATTGCGATACCCTCAGAGTGGCCCATTTTTAAGAGAGGAGATCCAAGGGGCGGGCGATGCGGCTTTTCCAAGGGTATTTCCTTGGTCCCAAGGGTCATATTTGGGATTTGAGCTAAATTTCTGGGCTGTGAGCCTGGGCTGGTCCCATTAAATTCCTGTTCCTTTCAGGACTCACAATGCCATTTGGGCCGACTGTAAGTCTGTAAAAAACCGATGTAGAAAGGTCACGGGGCAGCTAAGTGTGGTTTCTTTTTCCTTTTCAAAAATATACTTGCATTGATTTCAGAGAGGAAGGGAGAGGGAGAGAGAGATAGGAACATCATCGATGAGAGAGAATCATGGATCGGTTGCCTCCTGCACACCCCCTACTGGGGATGGAGCCTGCAACCCGGGCATGTGCCCTGACCGGGAATCGAACCATGACCTCCTGGTTCATAGGTCCATGCTCAACCACTGAGCCACACCGGCCAGGCAAGTGTGGTTTTTTGTAATGTCCAACTTCACCCATGATGAGGTGAAGAAGTGTTAGGAAGGCGAGGGTGGAGGGCGAAGGGCTCTGGGTCTTCTGGGTGCCTGGAGTCCAGGGGAAGCAATGCATCTCCACAAAGAAGCATCCTGCTCAGGCCTGTCTTTCAAGACCTTGGCAGTGAACAGGCGGGTCACAGCAGGGGGACCCTTGCCTAGCAGGCGCCGATTTCACAAATGTTTGGCTGAAGCCCCCCCATTAAGAATGTGGAGTTGCTGCCCTAGCCGGTGTGGCTCAGTGGATAGAGCATTGGCCTGCGGACTGAAGGGTCCCAGGTTTGATTCCGGTCAAGGGCACATGTCTGGGTTGTGCTCTCAATCCCCAGGACGGGGTGTGCAGGAGGCAGCCGATCCATGATTCGCTCTCATCATGGATGTTTCTATCTCTCTCTCCCTCTCCCTTCCTCTTTGAAATCAATAAAAATGTATTTTTTAAAAAGAATGTGGAGTTGGCCCTCGGAGCCCCTTCTCTGCGGGATTCTAGGAGGCGGGAGGAGGGAAGATGTGTACCTGCAGGTCAGCGGGGG